TCATCACTGTGTGGTTAATCTGCAAGATGAGCAGCTCTCGCGATTGTGTGTTGTGCTGCAGTGTAAGAAAATATGTTTGCTTTCCTCGGCTGAGTCTAGGAGTTCCTTCACTAACGAATGAAGTTTGCATACGGCGGTGCGCGAAAAAGCAATGGAGTTTCACCCGTTTTACGCGAAGTGGCGTAAAACTCGGTGAAAACTCGATATTCGCGGTGATATGCAGTAGTCGTGAAATATGTTTTTCATATCACTAGGGTGGTGAAACTCCAATGAAATTAATTCCCATATCATCACCGACACGTGCATTTGATCATTTGCAGTATTATACATTGCTTGTTATCATGGGAAGAACTGAGTGGAAAATCAAAGTAGATATACACTCAGTGTACGCACTTCGAAGACCTGAAGGAAGCACTGAACTGCCAAACCCGTAAAAAAAGAGAAACTATCATCGAAGTGAATACCGCAGGTATTTGAAAGTGATAGTAGACTACCCTGGTGAGGAGGAAGATGTTGAGAAGAAGACCACTTGGCAGAGCGCGACGGCTAGTTGTTCGTTCAACTGCTTTTTTCTGTTCGATGCAAGTCTGGCCAAAGCAGAGTTCAAGAGATCTAAAGTCAGTGTGGGAAGATATACACATGTGTTGGTGAAAAGAAGAAAAAAATTGAGAATTTCTTTTGGAAAATTTTCAATTTTGGTGAATTTTCAGCACAGAAATTTTCATGTCCGGGAATAACTTGTATAGTTAGTGAGGAAACTGATGAGCTCAGCTGAGGAAAGCGAACATATATTCCTCCAACACTGTCCACAGTTGGGCCACTTCACTATTGTTTCTGTATAATGAAGTTTCATCCTAGAGATATGAACGACCCTAGTAGAAAATATATTTCACGACTACTGCATATCACCGCGAATATCGCGTTTTTCACAGAGTATCACGACACTTCACGTAAAACGGGTGAAACTCCAGTGTTGTAAAATATGCGCATAATCAACCACCGGTGTTGGTGACGTGAGGAAATTTTTTGTGAAATTCACGTTGGTTTCTGTATAGTTCTACCTGAATTCGTATATAAACTTTAATGAGCTCAGCTGAGGAGAGCAAAGATATATTCCCCCGACACAGTATCGATTAAGCGTGTAAAATTACACATGGACATGGTCTTCCATCACTAATGTTCGAAGTTCTATCCTCATTAGATAACTCTGCAGTGTTGGCACCATAACGCACTCAGAAAAGATGAGCTCATAGGGGCATGTACGTTTGGTTTCAGTCGAATGTAAGTCTCGATCAACTGGTGTTGGAATATATGTTTGCTTTTATCAGCTGATCTCAGGACTGAGTTTCATAACTTCTTATATGCGAATTAGGGTAGAAAAGTACAGAAAACAATGAAAATTTCCCGAAAAATTTCATATCGTATGCATATTTTCCCAAACTGCGATCGACTCCCATTAAGCAGTGACTCACTCGCTGTAGTTACTCACTAGTTCGGCACACTTTGTTGAGGCAGTGGATGCCCATGACTTTTCCTGAGAAACCTGGTGATGTGAGAGGATATGTTAATGTTAGCGTTGGAATATACGGCCCCGGGGACGATGTAAGCCTTTTTGGTGGCAGTGCCGAAATTATTCATCATGGGTGTTTGTCGAAATTATATTTTGTCTAAACATGGAGTTGATTCACATAGGAGTTTCACCACCCTAGTGATATGGAAAACGCTAGTGAAAAATATATTTCACGACCACTGCATAGCGCAAATATCGCGTTTTTCACCGAGTTTTACGCCACTTCACGCAAAGCGGGTGAAACTCTATTAATACAGTACTCGGGTAAGTTCATCGGATGAACTTCAGCCAGATTAGAATGATAATATATTATAAGGGAGTTTCACCCGTGATATGAAAAGCACTAGTGAAAAAATACTTCACTTCATTTAACTTCGCGGGAAACGTAGTAAAACACATGAAATGATATTCATGAAACATATTTCACACGTGGAATGGGTCGTAGAATTCTCGATTAACTTCGTTCCGGGAATATCGCGTTTCTCACATGGAGTATTACGCCACTTCGCGCGAAACGGGTGAAACTCCGTCATAATAAATGCAAAGACCAAAACAATGGTTATCATCATTTTGCTGATAGATGTCTTTGTTACTCGCTAGACGATGTGAGAGGTTGAGTTGTATCATTCCTGAGGTTCCGAGTGGTTTCCGACTCATCTCGGATGAGGACGAGGCTGTGAGCTCCATCACTGAGAGGGTCTTACAGACCCCCGATTCGAAGTTCAACTTAGTCATGCTCAACTTCAACGTGAGAAGAGTCAATAATTGTGGGAGTTAAAACTGTGAGTGCGTTTTCTTTCGTTTCGCGGGTAAAACTCCAATGCGTTATTGATTTCAAATCCAATTGCTGTAGACCAGTCGGACCACTCGGGGGCATTACTCTGAAATTATTCTCAAAAACTTCCAAAATAAAAGAATTTTTTCCAGTGAAATTTCGCGATTTTCGTAGCATCGTTCGTAGGTTTACAAGGCTGAGAATCTTCCTAAGAAAGGCGGTGGTGGTGTATTCGGGAGAACGGCAACATGCAGTCCTTACGTAAGTGTTCGAGGAGTATGTGTTCCCTTTCCTCACCTGAGCTCAGGAGTTTTCTCACTGAATAGAACTCGGGTAGAAGTGCTCCGAAATCAATAAGAATTTCCTCATTATACGTAGT